TGGGAAGGTTCTCCACTGTTCCATGTTTTTGCCATTTGTGAATAATGGCTCTCACTGTGGTTCGCTGGAGTCCCAAAGCTTTAGAAATGGCTTTATAACCTTTTCCAGACTGATAGATCTCAATTACTTTTTCTCATTTGTTTCTGAATTTCTTTGGATCTCGGCATGATGTCTAGCTTTTGAGGATCTTTTGGTCTACTTCACTTTGTCAGGCAGGTCCTATTTAAGAGATTTCTTGATTGCGAACAGGTGTGGCAGTAATCAGGCCTGGGTGTGGCTAGAGAAATTGAACTGAGGTGTGATAAACCACAGTTTTAACAGGGGGGCAAACACTTCTTCACACAGGGCCATGTGGATTTTGTTTTCCCTTAATAATAAAAACCTTCATTTAAAAATTGCATGTTGTGTTCACTTGTGTTATCTTTGACTGATATTTAAATTTGTTTGATGATCTGAAACATTAAAGTGTGACAAACGTGCAAAAAAATAAGAAATCAGGAAGGGGGCCAACACTTTTTCACACCACTGTATATATATAATTAACCAACTGGGGCTGGATGATGTAATTAATATTTATAGTTTAGTACTATTTTGTTGATTTTTATGAAATTAAGTGCTGGTTAATGTAATTTATATTTGCAGTATATTCTATATTATTTTTTGGTTGTATAAAATTAACCATCTAAGGCTGAATGATATAATGAGCTTTTGCCATATATATATGTTATTATTTTGTTGCTGGTTTAACATTTACTAACCAGTGCTGAATAATTTAATCAACATATGCGAAATATTCAATATTGTTTTATGCCATTATAAAGTATAGATTATTATGTTTGATACATTTTTAAATGGAATAACACTGTTGAGTATAGGAGCACAAAGAGAGCCATTCTTTTTAATATCGTCCTTTATTTAAATATATTTTTTAAATATAAATGACAACAGAGTTTTGATTCAGTTAATCGGTTCTGTCAGATCAGTTGATTCACTGATTCAAAACTCACAACTCTTTCCATTCTGAATGTTGTAGGAGTTTGTGTTGTGTTCCGGCATGTGAGAGGTAATGAGTGATCACACACCCCCTCTCCCTGGCCACACACACACCCACACACACACTCAGGCTGGTTGTCAAGAGGGACGGTCTTCCATAGTCTTGGAATGCAGCTTACTGTCTGGCCAAGCGTACCATTAAACCATGTGCTGCCTTTGTTTTCCCTTTAGAGCGTGTCAAACAAACAACACTCTGGCACACTCTCACTCTCAGGACACACACAGCCCACTCATCACACTTCCCTCACACATTATGTATGTGAATATTTACGAAGTTTGATCATATGCTCTCAATACAATTGAGACTGAGCTGCATTTGGTATGAAGTACAGAAAAAAAAATGGTAGCATGATTTTTGTGTCTGTTCAATGGCAGAAGCATGTTTGTCTTTTGATATTTTTACCACAAGACATTCTATCTCTATTTCCACAGCCTCTCATCCTGACGTCGATGAAGAAATCGACTATCTGTCCTCCGTCATTTCCAAGCAGCAAATGTCAGAAGTCAAACAGCCAGGTTTGAACTATCTGCTCTTAAAATCTGTGTGGTTATGGTTAGTGTAGCGGTTATAGTGGTCATGATTCATAGCAAACCCTTCTGAGCTTTGCACCTCGCTTGTTTTAATGTAGTGTAGTGTAAAACAAACAGCGGTACATTCGGATTGCAGAAGCCTTTGGCGCTTAGTTAACGGTGAAAAAATGCTGTTAAACAAGGAAATAATATAGTAACTTTAGGGACGTTAGATAAAAATAATTTTTTTATGCTGAAATAAGGATAAAAAATAACACGGTCCTGCATCATATTTGCTAAATGAAATCCAATACTTGTTTCTTCCTAATTTTGGGATTTTGATTCCAAAACTAGTGGCTGTTTTGCTGTATTAGGACGTCACACCCTCTCACAAAATATGATTTCATAGCATTTCATAGCATTTTTGCTTTCGACAAACAATTTGTAAGGTGAACAAGTCTTGTATTATGCATACAACACAAAAAAAACTGCCACAAAGACATTCCTCTGAGCCAGATCCTCAGCCCATTTGTACATGCATGAATGATTCTGAAGCCATTATTTTATGCCTAATCCTGATTTTAAGGTTAGAATTATGACCAGTGACTGAAGATGATGCCAGATGTGACCCAGATTTTTCTGCTACATCCAAACAGCAACAGAAAATTACAGATATTGTGAAAAAAAGCTTATTTTTGACATTTGACTCGTTTGTAGATTGTAAGTTAAATTATACAATTTGAATAATTCTTTGTTATTAAAAACAAAACTTTTTGACATTAGACTTCTTTTATTTTTGATAAGTGCATTAAAGCCGAAACATATATAATTTGACAAATCTTAATTGTTATTTTGTGGGGGGGAAACTATGTGATGGTAAATGTTTGTGATATTTTGGAACTCCGCATCATCAAATTAGGTAACATTAGGCCTTTTTTGCAAATCATCATACGGTTGTTTTTTTTTTGTAATTGGATTTCCTTTTATTCTCTTTTTCTGTCTCTCTCTGTCTCTTCATCTCCTCTCTAGACTCTCGCTCACAGTCTCCTCTGCAATCCCAGTCAGAATCGAAGCAGAAGAGTCTGCACAAACCCCCAACGACCAGTGGCCCATCCACACCAACACAACAGACCCCTAAATCGGTCACAAACTCGTCCGACCGCCACGGGCCGATCATCTCCCCCCACTCCTCCACAGACAGCCTGCTAGTCTGTATGTGTCACTAGGTTTTTTCTGATTTGTGACCCTGGACCACAAAACCAGTCTTAAGTCGCTGGGGTATATATATATTATACATGTTCCATGAAGATATTTTGTAAATTTCCTATTGTAAATATATTAAAACTTGAAAACTTGACGTGATTTTCTCAGTATTTTGATTTTTTTTGCACCCTCAGATTCCAGATTTTCAAATAGTTGTATCTCGACCAAATATTGTCTTATCCTAACAAACCATACATCAATGCAAAGATTATTTATTCAGCTTTAAGATGATGTATACATCTCAATTTCGAAAAATTGACCCTTATGACTGGTTTTGTGGTCCCGGGTCACATTTGGTTTAAAGCCTAATTATGATCAATGTGTTGTGAGTTGTTATTTTTTTTAATCATTTCAGCATTGACCCGGTTTCCACAGAAATCTTTCTGTGTGCTATTTTTAATGCCATTTACCGGATTTACTGTGGTTTGGCTGGCCTGCATCCCTGACAAAGATGGCATTTTAAAGCAGGCCCATCACATGATGTTTTGTACTTTTATAATTGGCTTGTCCTCAGACGTTAGTAATTATATCGAAACGTCTCTGGCATGTGTCAATTTACACACTTCACGCACGTCCCTTATTTCGATGAATCAAGATGTTCTGTATGTGACAGTCCTCCTCATAGTTTTTCTTGTCTGTCTCTGTTTCTCTTTCTCTTATAATTGTGTGTGTTTGTATCATCGGGAGCAGTGATGATCTCTTTATGCATTATTGTGGGGTCCATGGCACTCATCATCGCTGCTGTCTGCTGGGTCAGGTCAGTTGAATCTTTATTATTTTTATTTGTCAGTTTGTGATGTCAGCCCAAACCATTATCATGCCACTGTAGTGTGTTTCTAAAAACTTCCTGTTCAAACTAATGAAGAAAGAAGCAGATAAAAGTTAGTTCTGTGATATTTAACTACTTTAGGGGGAGAAAACAGTTATTTTGTTTTGCATTAATATAATTAATATAACTTATAATATAAAAATATATTATAATAGTATTAAATTTAATATAAAATAATGTTAAATATAGGTATAGATATATAATGATATAAATAAATTACATTTTAAAATAAATTGTTGTCAGTGCATTCTTTTATATTTTTCCTTTTGATCTACAATATATTATAATATTTTATCCCTTTTTATACTTTTTTCAGTCTTTTAAATAATAAAAATAAATATGATATTAGTATAAAAATAAATAATTTTATATCCTTTAATAATTTTGTCATTTCCAGTGCATTTTTTTTTTTTACTGTGTAATTCTATTGAACTTTAGCTTGATTTCTTTTCTTTTTTTTGGTCTTTTACAGGTTACAGAGAGAAACTCATCTGGCTCAGAAAGTTGATTACCCTGCGTTTCATGCTGCTGGTCCCAGTCATAATCAAACTTCAGTAAGAGCATTCGCATTAATGCCAGTTCATACATCGGAAAAATACAATAAACACTTTGGCACTTCTTGTAATGTGTGTTTACAACCATCTCTTTCCATGTTTTAGTCTGGGGATAAAACCCTGGCTCACAGTGCTCAGATGTATCACTACCAGCATCAGAAACAACAGATGCTCTCAATGGAGAAGTAAGCACAATATATGATCTCTTCATTGCTTTAGTCGCTTTAGCTGCATTGTCTCCTCTCAGCTCTCGGTCCCTGTGATTTCCTTTTAACATTATTTGTGTATTTTTATCGTAAGTTGGTTTAAGAGAATGCTGGCCAAGAATGTGAATGTAAAAATGCATATCATTTTCCTTACTAATTTCCTTCCTTCTTATTTGCTTCCACTTTCATGTACATATATACATTGCACTTCATATGAATCATGCTAAGAGTACTGGTTTCAATATCAGCATTTATGGCATAATGTTGACTGACAACTAAAACTTATTTAAACTTTTTAAAACTTTTTATATAGTAGTGTATGTTTTTTTTTTTATTACCTGCATTATTTAGAAAAAAAAACATAGCCCTTTTTGTTTGAGTGTGTAACGTTGTCTAAATCATCCTTTTTGATGCTGCACTACTTTTATAGTTGGATGAACTTTTGGTTATGAAATGTAAATACATAGATTGATATGTCAAATCCCTTTCTGTTAGCATTGTGCTATTGTGCGAAGGTTATGACATCATGACAATGAAGATGAAGCAAGTTTCATAAAATGTGTTCCATGTTATATCTGTTAAAGATGTTAATATAATGATTTTTATTTTGAACACAGGCATAAAGCAGAACCTAAAGTCTCAGAGTCTGGGGTCACATCAGATGAGGAGAATGAAGTGGGAGATTTCACTGTGTACGAGTGCCCTGGACTGGCACCGGTGTGTAAACATTTTTGCATTTAGCAGCTTTTTAGCATTTATCATCTCTATTTAACATGTGTTTTTATGATAATATTAACAGAAAAAAAATTTAAAAAAAATACATAAATATATTTTTAAATACAGTTTTGTTTAAATTTGAAATTAATTCATTTAATTTAATTAATTGAAAAATTTATTTAATTTTATTTAATTTTTTTATTTATTTTTTTACTAAATTTGTTGTAAAATATATAATGCATGCACACTTCCATTCAAAGGTGTGGGGTGTTTTTTAATTTAATTTTTTTAACTTTTAGTCTCTTATGCTCACCAAGGCTGTATTTATTTGATCAAAAATACAGTAAAAACCATAATGCTTTAAAATATGAATAAAATGACTAAAATTGTCTAGTTTAAAATTAAGAGGCACTGCAGGTGAATATGGTAAAAAAAATAACTAATAGTTATTGCCTTACCCAGCTGATTGATTACATTGATAATTGCAAACATTTTTTGTATTACATGTTTTCTAAAATGTTAGGTTTAAAAATGCAAATGAGTCATTATTTAATTAAACATGCACTAATTTACATACATTTCTAGTGCAGAAATCTAAACACTGGATGATGTCAGTTTCAAAATTCTTGTTTACTTTTTTTGACATATTAGAGTCAAAAAATTTTACAGAGGGAATTTTGGGTATCTTATTTTTGTCACGCCATAATTCAGAAAATGCTTAGAACGGACAGAAAACACTATATTTTCACAATTTTGGGGGGAATAAAATGTTGTTAGTGCTATAAAAGAAACACTTAAAAGTGTCTTTTGGATGTTTTCTTTCCACTAGTCTGAAATAAACACTTTATGAAAAACCAAAAAGCCCAAAATCTCAAACTTGAGAGGTGCATGAAAAAACAGTATTTTGCCTGCAGTGTCTCCCATTAAATTAATTCCTGTGATGGCAAAGCTGATTACTACAGTTTGTGGTGTCCCATGCCTTCAGAAATTGATTTATAGATGCAGTCCTAATATTTAAAAGAAAAAAAAACATATTAGCTAAACAAGTATGACCGTTATGTATTTTGCTAAATTTGTTGTTGTTTTTTTCTCTCTTTAGACTGGAGAGATGGAGGTGAAAAACCCACTGTTTGACGACTCCACCTTACACTCCCAGAGAAATCACAAGTGACCTGGACACACACACACCTGCATACTTTTAAAATAGGTCTAACACACCTAAAAGCATTCCTCCATAGGGTGAAGCTGCATCTGTCACACCACACACAAATGAAAAAAATATCCTGGAAAATCTGTGCTCAGAACAAAGTGAGAAAAACACCCAAACTCTAAAGATACTGAAGAAGGGGTGGTGTGTAGTCAATCAGGTAAATAAAAGTAAAAGACAGCAGTGGTTAAAAGGTTTTTCTTTTACTCAGATGCACATATATCAAATCTGAAAGAACTCTGGCACCGCAAACTCTCAGTGGAAACTCAGACCGGCCTTTTAATGCGGTTTCTTTACACCACGTCTTTATTCTTCAAGTCTGGGGTTAGTTTTCTCCCACTAGCTTTTTATGTCACCTCCCTTTTAAAATCATTTGTCTTTAGAGTCTTGTTAGGAATCTTTATAAGCATCTTTTTCAGCTAGGTGTAATTTTTTAACAACTCTTCATGTTTTTGGGCAAAGCTGCCTCCAAAAGCTCCTCTTCTTATTATTGTGTATAAGAAATACACAGTGCTCTCTCACACATCTACTTGTGTTATTTGTCTCTCCTTATCTAAATATTATTTTCTTATTGTCAACTTTTGGTTGTCTTTATCAATGCTGATTAAGACTAGTTCTATTTAATTTGTCACATTAGTTATTTTTCCTATGTATGTTCTTTAATATGAAGTCTCTTTCTCCCGCTCTGTATTTTTTTTTTCTTTGTATCCCTCAGTAAATATCAAATCCATTTTATCTAATGATATAATGATTGTGTCAGGAAATGAAATGAGCTGTGATGAAGGTTATGATTCAAGATCTGCTGTTATGATACTATTAATACACTAAAATACTGTCTTGTTTGGATTAGTTTATTTACATTTTTTTGTCACATATATTCAGTAGACATCGGTCAAAAGTTTGGGGTTATGAAATATGTCTCTTATGCTCTGCATTTATTTGATCAGAAATATAGTAAAAACAGTAATGTTGTGAAATATTATTGCTATTTAAAATAAATGTCTCCTAGTTAAATAGATTTTAAAATGTAAAGCTGAATTTTCAGCAGGCATTACTATAGTCTTCAGTGTCACATGATCCCCCATAAATTCTAACATGCAGATTTTTATTATAAATATTGAATATGTGCTGCTTTTTTGTAGAAACTGATACTTTTTCATAATTCTTTGATGAACTGAAAGTTCGAAAGAAACACATTTTCTTTAAAACTTTTTCTTTAAAAAAATTTCTTTTACTTTAAAAATGTCTTTAATTTTAATTAAGGAAAAGGTTACTGACCCCAAACTTTTGAATTGTAGCATATTTCCAAGTGATTATGTTGTGCTATGTCACATAAATGAAATAAGTGGGTATTCAGACCATAGGTGTATTTGGTATTAGTAATGATTATTCAGTTAGATTACTTTTTATTTTACACTGTGTTTTATAAGGTTTATATTGTATTATATATTTCTATAAAGCCTCCCAAACAGATAACCATAAGTAAGGAATTATGTAACATTACAGTACATTACATAACATTAAATGCACTAGGGCAACTGTTCCATAAATCAAGTTGGATTGTATGGATAGTGTTGCATCAGCTATATATCAAGGACTTTCATTTGTTTGACCTCAAATCTTGGATTCTTCTGAAACACCTGTCTATGTTTCATTTCTGTTAATACTTGTTTTAGGTTGGACCTGAAAAAAAGCTTGTTCTCTGAAAGAAACTGAAGCTAAAATGTTTGTTTGTCCTCTCCAGCTCATCCATCTAAACAGAACGTGGCAAGAGGAGACACAACCTCCCCCAGTATAGGCTCTGTTCTGCGATGGGCCACTTAACTGCCCCATAAGGTGTGGTTCAGAGGAGCCCATCACAGATCCAGCCTCATTGAGGTGTCTGTGGGGGGAGAGCCATTAAAGGCCATTGTAACTGTGAATGGTGAGGAAGGCAGCCATAGGCCACCCGATCAAGATATGTGGGGAGAGAGGCAGTAGTCGTCAGCAGGGTGTCAAAAGCAATCAAAAGGCCATCGGACAGGTTGTATAAGTGAATGGGGCAAAGAGAAGAGAGGTCACATACCTATTTATCAGATACTAAAACTAAAATAAAAATGTAAAAAAAAAAATCACAGACAACCAAACAATTTTTTTCCATGCTTTGGGCCTACATTAAGTCAGATTAATAAGGCACTATAAAATGACCTTTATTGTGACATAAAAAATATTTCTCAAGTATGATACAGCATGTAGTACACAACATGTTACCTGTTTTTTTGTATTATTATTGTCTATATATTGCTATTATTCAGAAGAGTACAGTCAACAACTGAGAACAGAAATAACACAAATCAGCTTCCATTTTGGTGTTGATAAATATTGATAATTTGATATCAGTGATCTTTTAGTGTCACTGGTATACTTCTATAGTTTTTGTCCTTTTTTATTTTTGTATTTTCCGTTTTCATTTTTAGTCTAAATGTTATATTTATATTTATTATTAATAAATATATAATGCATTTATATTTATTTATTTTTTGTTTTAGTTGTGTTTTTTGTTAGTTATTGCTCTTTTATTATACATCTGTAAAGGTTTTTAGGTTTCAGTTTTAGTTGTTTTAACACACCAAGTAACTAAATATAATGTTGCTTTGGCAAATAGTTCAAATAAAAGAAGTTCAGTTTTTTATATGTCTTTTTATTTCAGCCAATGTTTAAGTAATTAAAATATTTCTATGGTGTTAGTTTTAGTTAACTAATAACCCTGTTTCATATAATACTTCGGATGCCATGATATTGGATATAAAATAGATATCTGAGAAGTTTAAAACAGTTATTTGATTAACTTATTATCCAAATATTTTGGTAAAATATTGGGTTATTTGTATAGATGCATGTAAGAGCTTCATGTTTGATTTCCCTGTATTTCCTTCCTCCTCAGATTGGGATCTTCAAACACAAAGTCATCATTTCATCTCAACTTGCACTTTACCACATATCTGCACTTTTGTCAGCAACAACATTTGGTTCCCATATCTAATATATAATTCTGATGCAGACGTAACCACCTTCTGAAATGTTCCAGAATGCGTTTCATGTAAACAAGGGTGGGGTGATGCTGTTGCTCCGTATTACTGAACATCCGGTATAACAATATTCAATAATATTACTGAACATCAGAGTTTCGAGTTCATTCTAACAAAGTTAAGAAAAGTTTTGCTGACTGTAGATTTTGCAGTACACAAGCCTGCAAACAGAGCCACCTGGGAGTGTTTTGCGGGCTAATCCTGGTTCTGCCGTCCCTCACTGGGCCTGTGTCATCTCTCTCCACTTTCTCCTCCTCTGTCTGCACTTTACATAACAATCCCCACCCAAGTCCATGGGCCAGCACAATGCCTGCAGCAGTGGTTTGATGTCTTTTAAAAGCTTTGACTGGCCCCGGAGGCCTCCTGTGTGCCCTTTCCTAGGCTTTGTGACCAGGAGAGATGGACAGCTCAGTTGTGACCTATATAGCTCCTGGTCTGAGAGAGTGTGTTTGATGGCAGGGGGTTGATTGTTCTAGATTTGAGTTGGCTGTGCTTGTACTGATGGTGTGTGATGCTCTGGGTGGGTGGCGAAGCTTCAGGGAGATTAGAATGGGAATCAAAGTAGACTGCAGAGGTATATATGTGTATAGTAGATATTTTGATCATTTTAAGCCATAGATGTAGTCTTTACGATGACACGCACTGTATAAACACAGGTAACAAATTTAGGTTATAAAAACCTTGTGAGATTAAAATGTTCCGTTTTCTTGTCGTGATTAGACTGGTATTTAAAAGTGGCTAAAATGTTTCTTAAACATTCTACTCTTTAATTTTACTCAAAATATAACATTATTTGAACGTTTATTTTTAAGGTAACTAAAACGTTTATTAACCGTTCTACTAGCCTAATTTTTATTTTCCCCAAAATATAGGCTAGTGTTATTTGAACATTTATTTTTTGAATATCCTAAGAACTTTAAAATGTCCAGTGTTCTTGTCATGATTATAACATTACTATTTAAAGATTACAAAAACGTTTCTTAAAACGTTCAAGTACGCTACAAATAACATCGTAAGGACGTTCCGAGAATGTTGTTCTAACGTTTTCTCTCAACATTCTTAGAATGTATAATAGGCTAATATAGTTAAAAAATAAGGTTCCATAAACATTACTTTAAGTTTTGACCTTATTTATATAACTTTTAAAAAACATTGTGTTGTGAGAATATGTTCCCATTTGCTGAGAAGGTCCATATCTCGTAATTTTCACAAGTTAGAACTTTCAAAACTGTTTTATGGTGGGTTTTTTTTCTACTGGAAGTTCGGAAAGACGTTTAGTCAACAAACAATATGGTGTTAAACAACAGTAGGCTATACACAGCGCACTGTATTTGTTTCCCTCATTCTCGGTTTCGCTGCTGTCAATAATTGCGCTACCCTGACTAAGGTCTATAATAACCAGTGTTGGGGAAAGTTACTTTTAAAAGTAATGCATTACAATATTGCGTTACTCCATAAAAAAGTA